TGAAGGTCACTGAAGCAATTCACCAGACTGGCATAATACACGGGGACATCAAGGCGGATAATTGCCTCTTAAGATTAGAACCGACGTTTGAGTGGGACTCCAGGTACGATCCGTCAGGTGCGCATGGATGGTCTAAAAAGGGAATCAAATTGATCGATTTTGGGTGCGCCGTAGATGTAACGAAGTTCTCACCGGACATGAGATTTATAGCCGATTGGAAGACGGACGATCAAGATTGCGTAGAAATGCGTGAGGGCAGGCCATGGAAGTGGCAGGCAGATTATTATGGTCTGGCAGGTGTTATTCATTGTATGCTACATAATGAATATATGCAAATAACTCCTGTACGAGTTGACGACGATTCATTTTCGTCTGGAGTTTCGTCAATATCTACAAAAAAATACAGGCCAATACAATCATTCAAACGATACTGGCAGAGCGACCTCTGGCGGAAGCTATTTGATATGTTATTAAATCCCACGATGGTTCGATCCGACAGCCGACTACCAATTACGCAAGAATTAAATGATATAAGGCGAGAATTTGAGGAATACCTGGTTTCGAATAGTAACAGAGCGGGAAAGAATTTAAAGGAACTACTGTACAAATTAGAAATCTCCGGTGAAGTTTATTGAAAGGGTCCATCCACCACTATCTACAGATAGCAAAAAAAAAATTTTTTTAGAGGAATGTCAGCCAAAAAAGAAATATGATTAAGTCACTCGAGACAGCATAATGAAATTAATTTAACCATTAAAAAATAAATTTACTACTAATATTATAATGTACATAATAAAGATTTTTATATTTGCGCCAAAATTAATCTCTCGTCCTCTGGTAAGAGTGGCACATGACGGTACTACAAAAACACTGAAATGACACGTGGAAACCTTAAATGACGATACTAGCATGTAACTGGTTATCGTTATGTGGAAATTCAGTCATTGTGCCCACAAATGGAAACAGTTGGCGAAGCATTAGTAGTTGTTATACAAAATTTTATTGGTGAATCTGATGTTGCACAGAATCTTACTGGCAAACGCGTCTTTTGGTTGAGTCATTCGAAAAACAGAAAGATCCTAGCGAAGGGAAAATACTTTGACCGAGTACGGATAGAGATAACCGCATGGTCTGACGAAACAGTAATAATCTAAAATTAAAAAACCTTTCGCCGAGTACGTATAGAGATAACCGTATGGTTTGACGAAACAGTAATAATAACCCAAAATTAAAAAAACCCCCGGCTTAAGGAGCGGACGCTTTTAAATAATTTAAATATGGGGTCTGTGTGCTGCTTATGCTGTCAGAACTTTGTTTCTAAAAAGAATAAAGAATTTTTTTCGCGAAAGAAAGTTCGTCTACAGAAGACGAAAGGGTTTTTGACAATTATATGAAAGAAAAGTAATTAAGTACAGTAAAAGGGAAATAATAAAAGTAATGAAAAGAATGAAAAGTAATGAAAAGAAAAAGAAAAGTAATGAAAGAAAAAGAAAAGTAATGAAACGAAAGAAAAGTAACTAAAAGAAAGAAAAATAACGAAAAGAAAAATGATGAAACGAAAGAAAAGTAATAAAACGAAAGAAAAATAATGTAACGAAAGAAAAATAAAATAATGAAAAGGAACGTATTTTGATGTCGTAGTAAAAAATATTCTTTTGGCAAATATACCTATAGTTTTTGGTATCGTTTTAGAAGATTACATGAAAACGGGATAAAAATCAGAATCTCGTTGAAAAGAGAAAACGACAATTAGAAAAATAGACACCGTTCATCACTTTTCATCGTTTTTCATCGTTTTCCATCGTTGTAAACAAATGGTAAACAAAATTTCAAGTGACAAACGTGTATAAATATTCCTACTTTTGGACCAAGTTGACAACATCAAAATCACTACTCCCTTCAAACACCCAAACATTTCCACAGATCTATTAATAAACTCAAGGAGTACAATAATACGATTATTATTGGAAGCACTGAAAACCACCTGTAAAGGAGGGAAGTAAGGATGCCTTGAGATTGTTAATGGCTTAATAAGATACATAAAACATTGATAGAATTACTGAAAACCATCCTTGAGAAGAGAAGGGTATTTGGAATTGTTGATGGATTATAATAAATTGAGAAATTAAATTCCAAGGACATCAAGGAAAAATATTCGATTATTTATAGGCAAAACCATGAAAAAGGTTCTTTGAGAAAGCGGGTTCTTTGAGAAAGTGGAATTCTCTGAGAAAGCAACTTGACGATGGAGGAATAGTCAACAAATTCTGGGACGAAGCTTTGTTTGAGTCATTTGACGCAAATATTTGAGCCGTATGACGCAAATAATTTAGTCATACGACGCAAATAATTGTGCACAAGGTACACATGCTAGTACAATTTTCAAACATCTATGGAAATATACTGTAGACACACATCTGGTAAGTAATAGTATCGCGTTCGTTATTAATTTTACAGGCGCGAACGGATTATCCACTCAACCAGTTGCATTAATAAAATTTTCAACTTGAGAAAGATATTTGGTAATTACTCAAACGAGAAACATGAAAAGGAAAAGTGGAATGCGTAATAAACGCGGTATAGCTAAGAAGAACTGTGGAAAAACGCATATAGTTGAAAAAAATTTTTTTTGAAAAAAAAAAAAAAAGAAAAAAAAATACCAACCAGCTTAACCCCATCTAAAGATCTACACAAAGGAATTAACCAATCATAAGTTTCAAAAAATTCTCCAAAAAATATAAAAAAACACCAACCACTCTTACTTAGGACCTATAATCCCAACCACTCTTACTTAGGACCTACAATCCCAAACATTCTTACCATCCATCTTGCATTACCTTTATGACCTATAACATTCAACATTCTTATCATTCATTATCATTTATAATTAATAAACTTAAAGAAAAACTTGTAAATAATTAAGTTAAAATAGAAAAAATAAGGAAGAAATACTTGAGAAGAATTTCGAGGGCACTTTGACTTCAAAGGTATCAGAAGAAAAGAAAATAAAAAAGTAATTTGAAGACACTTGAATTCTCAAGGTATCAGAAGAAAATAAGGTTTCAAGGACACTGGAATTCCAAGGTATCTGAAGAAAATAAAAGAGACGAAAAAATACTTTAAGGACATTTGAATTCCAAGGTATCTGAAGAAAATAATAAGAAGGTAAAAAGTAATTTGAGGACGCTTGAATTCAAAAGTATCTGAAGATAATTATTCAAGGGCACTTGAGTTCCAAGGTATCAGAAGAAAATAAAAAGGAGGTAAAAAATAATTCGAAGACGTTCGTTTGAATTCCAAGGTATCTGAAGAAAATAAAAAAGTAAGTAAAAAAGTAATTTGAGGACACTTGAGTTCCGAAGTACCTGAAGAAAATAAAAAGGAGGTAAAAGCAATTTGAGGACGCCTGAATTCAAAGTATCTGAAGAAAATAAAAAAAGCAATTGAGGGCGCCTGAATTCAAGGTATCTGAAGAAAATAAAAAAAGCAATTGAGGGCGCCTGAATTCAAGGTATCTGAAGAAAATAAAGAAAGTAATTTGAGGACACTTGAATTCCAAGGTATCCGAAGAAAATAAAAGGTAAAAAATTAATTTCGAAAACACTTGAGTTTCCAAGATATCTGAAGAAAATAAAAGGAGACAAAAAAGTGATTTCGAAATAGTTGAAGAAGATAATTCAAAGATATCTAAAAGGGCTTTGAAGACATTCGAAAAGTAACCATTTACATCAAAATACTAACTTAAGTGAGTGCAACTGAAGTGTCAACTAAACTTTACAAAAAAAGGAAGAATATCCCTTACGAAAAAATTCTTTTCGACCAAAGGATTTAATTACAACGGTAAAAATGTATTATTCTATAAAGACAAAATATGAAATACACTAAAACCAATATTGAAACCCAACTTTTCAAAACAGAGACAATCGCTTAAAGATCTTGTTTCTCAAAATAAAAAAGTATAAATAAGGTGGATTCTGGCCCTTAGGAGGAAAATAAAACCGAAAACAATCAGAGGATAAAATTAAGAAAAGGAAACGAATATATTTATTTATTTATAACACCACTACATTACCCGCGGTTACGTAAATTGAAAGAAAATACTGTAACTTGCCGTTAAAAGACCGGCGTATCCAAACCGTAAGACAACCGTTACTTACGAAGAAGAGATATTTCATAAGTGAATATGGATATCATAATCATCGGCATCTGTGCCTGCTTTTTGATCGGGTGTATATTTTTTACTGAAAGGATGATAGCGGTAGAATATTTGAATATGAGGATTGGTGGACTTTTCAATGTGGAAATAAGGGAACTTAGGATAGGTTAAATTCTTGATCTCTTCAACATGAATATAAGAGATATTAAGGTACCTCGATCTCTTCAACATGGATATAAGAGATGTTAGGATATCTTGAAGATTTTTTTTTTTTTTCGAAGTTTTTCGTTTTTTTTTTTTTTTTTTAAAGTGAATAAATGATAATTTAAAAATATAATCAATTTTATTTTATTTTATTTTATTTTATTTGTTCGAAAATTAGTATAATTTATAAAAGTAGGAATCAACTCTTTAATATCGTTTTTCTAAATTTAAACCATTTAATCACGTGTTCGACGGCCTAGTCGTACTTCTTTTGGATCAGAAGTCATGCGTACTGATCAGGTGTTCCGGACGAAATTTGATTTGCGACCTTCCACATATGCGTAATAATAAATAACTAATCGCTGATTTTATACTTCTGGCATCATGAATTCAAAACTGTAAATACAGTATGTGTGGCTCGAACAAGCTTCCCACCCACAAGAATCTCGGGGACAGCATATGGTAAAACTCGCCAAATATTTTCGTTTTTCTATTACATAATATTGAAAGTCTGATTATACGTGTGTAGAGTATAATATTGCCACTATGTACTGTAAATCCCGATGTATAAGCCTTGGTGAAAGAGTCGCTACAAAGATCTTATAGTTTTGCTTCTTTTATATTTCTTGCTATATATAAGTATTTTCACGTAAGAACCCTTTAGCATATTTTCATTAAAGAAGATACAGTATTTCAAGAAAATCATTGAACTTTATAAATTAAGTTTAAAATATTATAAATAATTGACAACTATTCTCAACAAACCTAATCTAGTAATGACACTATCATTTTGCAGTCGGACGTTGACAAAATCCAAAAAATTAAATACAAAAAAAAAGGCTAACGGTAAAAAAAAAAAAAGAATAGAGAAACACGTACATACAAGCTTTTCTCTTATTCGTAGTAATCTCTAATCAATTTTTCTACGAACTAGAAATTTTAATTTTTACTAACAAGCATCCTAATTTTCTTTCATTCCGACTATTATTTAAATAAAAATAAAGAAAAATCTTACCAATTCGTGACTGTTTTAAAGGAGCAAATTAGAAAGTCGAAAACTGCTCGCTTTTGAAAATTCATAAAAAAAACAACTTCCAGGTTTCATACATGATTTTGCGAAAACTTTTAAAAACAAAAGCGATAAATCCAAACTAACGCTATTCAGTTCGTATATTATATGAATAGAAGTTCTCTCTGAGTATAAATTATTCAATGATTTCTATTTGCAATCGTGCCGTGTAAAAGAAAGAAAAGTGATTGTATGTTGTACTGTAAGAACGGCATTAAAAAAAAAAAAAAAACCCCCAACCCAGCTTAACCCCTACAAAAGATCTGCAAATGGGAATAGCCAATTATATGCATTGATACATCTTCTAATTTTTCAAATTTATTCAAAATCTTCTTGTCACATTTCAATCATTATATTGACAACGAATCTATTATCATAAATGTAAATATTTTATTATAAAATATATTTCTTATAATTGATTAAAATGAATAATCTAATAGTTGTAATTTACTTGTGAGTCCTTTTGAAATTATTTTCAGATCTGTATATTTTTTTTGAAATTAGATTTTACGGAATCTACAAAATGTTCACAAAATGAATTCAAAATAAGAAA